ACGAAGATACTTAACATCAGTATCATTGAGTTTAGGTGTTCTGCCTCTTCCTTTCCTATTTTCAAATTTACTTGTCTTGGTTTTTTCACAATCTAGGGTGTACTTGACAGTGTTTGGGGAGTGTTTCAAGTCTGCAGCAATTTGTTGGAGAGTCCAACTAGCATCACGTAAAGCTTTTATGTGAACTCTTTGCTCTACTGACAATTCTCTACTATGCTTTTTGGTCCATGGCACGACAGCAAGACTTAATATACTGGTACCATATGCTAACTCCCTGCTAGCTTCTTTCTATGTAGTGAGGTAACATGATAGTTATTTCAGACCCTAAATTTGATCAGTATGTTCATTCAAGCAGAACCCTTATGACATGCCCTTGGTAGAAGTATATGGGAATTCTAAAGAATGTCAACAGGAATCTGTGAAGCATTGCGATAATGTTGAAATTTACATTCTGTAATGGCATGGAAGAATTAGCCCCATGAAATGGAAAGAATGACAAAATATTCTCTTGTCCTGACGCATTTGCACAGTACTGTATATAATTTATTTTTCCATGATTAACTGTTCAGATGATGCAGAATATGACATATAGACAGACCCATCTTGCCACACCCGCCTGTCACATCCTCTCTTTCAGGATTTGTTAATAGTTCTTTCTTACTCCTAATACTATATTATGTATAACCAATAAAAAACCAATGTTGTCATCTATCAAATGACTTATTGTATAACATTATGTTCTGAATGGTTAAATGTCAATTTCCTTTAGAGTACTAACATTGTTCCCATGGGAAAGTTAATGACTAGCTTAGATGAATTTGTAATGGCTCTTTTTGCATAGTTAGAAAGCCAGGAAATTTTTTAGAGGAAACAATTTGTATACTTTTTTTATATTATTAGTGTATATTCTTTAGTACATTATTTAATTAAATAAAAATTAAGTGCTTTACTATCTATATTATAAAAAAATTAGGGTTAACTCTCTTCAAAAACCGGACAGCAAGAAAAAAGAAGATTAGCTAAGTATTTTATTTCTTAATTAAATAAAAATTATTTAATGCACTACCACCATCAGTATAAAAAAGTAGGGTTAAATGTCATCGATAGTGGACAGGATAGTTGACTTACTTGGGTAAGTACTTTTCTTATTTTTTCATATTGTTACGTCTCTGGTCATTTCTTAAAATATAAATTCTTCCCGAGGAACTTCAGCGATACAATTCCTTTCTTAAATAAAGCTAGTTTATTCTTTCTCATAACAAACTTTGTAATACACTTAATTTCCACAGTCACTTTAACTGAAACACGTGCTATAATTCACAACGATTCACGCACTTTACTTTTGGTCACTACCGCTCGCTTGACTCAGTTAACTCTATCTTCAATCTCTCTATATCTATCTATCTCTGCTTTATTTGCCAGGCTTATATACTAAAAAAGAGGGCGTCTAGCAAATACTGGGATATTCGTGAGGTTCCCCGATCCTTCTAGAAACTCATCGTGTGTTACCAGTGTCACGTGACTTCCGCTGTCGTAACAATATTTATTTTTTATTTATTGTTATAAAAAAGAAACTAAAATTTAAAAATACGTTTTTTTCAAGTTACTTAAGACTTGATTAAGCAAAATAAATAATAATGATAATATGATTAAAATCCTTCACAAGGCACGCACGCGAGCAGTTTGTAGAAGCTCTTGGGTACTGTAATTTGACAACGTAACATGAGCTGCACATTCTCCGAGTGATTTACAACTTATAATGGCACGTATAATAGTTACACACAGTTCAAAGGGCAATAAAGCAATAAAACTTAATTATAAATAGATGTATACTGTTACGAGCCTAGAGCTACTTAGGATAAACAAATGTAGTTTCATGTTACAATTTGAAGTCATTATAAAAAGAAAAAAAAGTGTAATTAAAGTTTATTTTGATTTTTTTTGGTGGTTACGATATCATTCCAAATGACCGATCCTGGTTTGAGAAAATAATAGATGAACTATAAAGTTTTACTGAAAAAAAATCGTTTGAAATGCATTGTGGAGTTTTTAGGGATTATACAAAGGAAATTTGAGATTTTTGAGACGAGAAAAAGTATTTTTAATTTTAACATGAAAATTACTTTGCACATTCAAAACAAATGCTCATTATATTCATGGACAATTTTTTTTTATGTTATTAAAAATACTTCAGTAAAAAATATGATTTTTTGTTTGTGAAAGATTTATAATGTTAACTTAAAGACTACCAAAATTTGTGAAGATGTACATGCTATATTGAAAGCTAGAAGTATAAAATATAAAGACTTTAAATGAATACAAAGAGGTCACATGGTCTGTCAAATTGACCGAGCTTTTGTTGAAAGAGTTAAGTAACTGCTGACTAAAAATCACTGTATTTAAATTTTAAAGAAAATTGCATGGAGAATTGTTCTGTAAACTGAAGTAATAACTAGAGCTAAAGTTCTGCCTGTCATTTTACTTTGCTATGTAATCCAGTATACCAGTATCAATAAGTATCGGTCTCTTTTATAATAACTTGTGATAGATGTATTTTATTACCTTGTTAGTATATACAAACTTGTATTATTATTTACATTACACAAACTTGAATTTTCCACCACAATACAAAGTATAAATGAAAGTAATGAACAACATTAACATTTTCTAAAGACATTTTTATCCTCTTACTATGGTCAGCTCAAAGTGCATATGTCACAAATATTTAGAGTTACATTCAAGATTTAATTAAACTACTTTATTATCATGGTATATGAATAAACTTGGCGTAAAAAGAGTTAATAAATCAAATTTTAATATTAAACAAGTTTTAAGTTCTTAATTTCATAAGGAAAAAGTTTTATAAATCTTCAATTTAACCCTAGTATGAGAATTGTGACATTTTCTCTCTCGGTATCCTCTCTTCTCTAATTTACTTACAACTCCTTCAGAACTATGGAATTTAACATACATTACTTATTATAATATTAATATCACTTGGGCAAAGTTTAATATTTATAGCTTTCAGTGTTATATAGTTACAGAGTCATAAAATACAAAATGAGAGCCCTCTTGTCATGCCCACCTGTCACATTCTCTTTCACAAATTGCCAGTAGTTTTCTCTTACATATATACTGCATTATTTATAACCAATAGAAATCCGAAGTATTAATCTATCAAATGACATATTATATAACATTGTTTTCTGTACAGAGAATTGTCTATTTAATTTCCAATTCAAACTTTATTCTCATAGGAAACAAACTGGCAAGATTAGTTGAATTTTAATGACGTATTGCATAGTTAGACAATAGAAAAATTAAGATAGTTTTTGGATATTGTTTGCTTTTTGCATTATTATTCTGTGTTTTTAGATGTATTAAATTTGATAAAATAAATGTAGTATAGTAGTATCATTATTATAAAAAAAAATAAGGTTAAATTTCATCAACAGTTGACAATAAAAAAATGATCCAGGTAAGTATTATATAAGTATTTTATGTGTATTCTTTATTTATTGTAATAAACCTAACTAAAATTTGAAAATTAGAAATTTATTACATTAGATTAGGTAAAATAAAGAGAAAAGATAATTAAAATACAAAGAATTTTCTGAGGTACATGTGAGCAACTTATGAGCCTGTGCTTTATGTAATTCAATAGGGCAATGTAAGCCAAGTGATTTACAACTTGTGTGGTGGATTATTAGTTAGACACAGTTCAAAGATGTATGCTGTTATGAGATTTAAGCTATTTAACATAAACAAATGTAGTTTCGTGTTACAATTTGAAGTCATTCTAGAAAAAAAAAGGTTAATTTAGATTTATTTATAATTTTTTGTAGTGATTATTTGATTGGTCAAATTGACCAACCTTGTATAGAGTTAGGGTTAAGAAAATAACAAATGAAATATGAAGTTTTAATTTTAAAAAAATACGTTTTAAATTAATTTGGAGGTTTTAGAGATTAAGCAAATGAAATTTGAAAATTTTCATATTCAGAAAAGTATATTTAATGTTAACATAAATCATTTTGTGCTTGGAGCTGCCAACACTGACTTCATATATATTCATGGAAAAATCTTTAGTGAAAATACTTTATTAAAATTTTGATTTTTTGTCTACAAATAACTCTTAATGCTTACTCAAAGCTTGCCAAATTTCTTGAAAATACGTACAACATATTAGAAGTTATATTATTAAAACTACAAAGGTCAATTTGGGGTCACAAACTTGGCTGATTCGACTGAACCCGTAGGAAAAGAGTTCATTTTTTTTTGTAAACCATTGTAATGGTTATGATGTTTTGGTATTCTCTAATTTTGTTTTATTGATCAGCTAGTTTGGGGAATAAAATATGAAAATGCATTAAATCAATACTGTTATAGATAATAAAGCCTCCTGCTGTTGAAGATCTACCTCCACTGCCTGAACGAGAGGCCACAATATTACAGAACCATCTAAAACAGGTAAGTTAGAAATATGTGCTTGACCTTGTTAAACCTTTTTTTTTTTAACTACCAAGCACACCAAATTATTATAGATGCAGCAATGAGAAAAACAAATAAACATTGAACTGGTATATATGAACTTTTAATATATGAAAGTTTATTGGTTTATAAACATTGGCATGTTTTAGTTTATTGGGTTTTAAATTGTAGTTTTAGTCTATAGAAAAAAAGGTTTAATGTTTTTTCACCTATTCCATGTTTTAGAACTATAATACCACTTTATACTTTCTAGACCTGAGTGGTGTCACTGATATCGTACAATTTTTCCTTCTCACAATGAAAATACTTCACAAAGTTACATGAAACTTAATATAAACTTTTACTATAGTATCTAGTTTTTTATTAAAAAATAATTCAATTGAGTATTTCTTTCAAGGTTTAGGTTGTGAAACTGCTAAAATGTTTTTCAGATGTGATAAAACATCAAACATTTCTTTTCTTTGTACTTTTAATTTTTTTAATTTATAAGAATGTTCAATTTTGTTGCGTATCTGCTTGTTTGTTAATTTCCCGTAGAAATTATTTCCGAGAAACTTCAGCAATACAAGTCCTTTCTTAATTAAAACTAGTTTATACTTTCACGATATAACTTTGAAATACACAGAATTTCCACAGTCAATACGTTTGCAATCTCGATAACAAAACACACACCTTATATTACCATCACTACCGCTGGCTTGACTCAATTATCTGTCTCTATATCTATCTATCTGCCATTATATATCCAGCTTTATTTGCCGAGCTTATATACTAAAAAAGAGGGTGCCTGGAACAGACTAGAGTTGCCAGGAAAAGTCATGATCCTTCTAGAAACTCCAGCGCGCATGCTCCCAGTGTCGCATGACTTCTGCTGTCATAACAATATTATATATTCAGTCAATTTCAACATGTTTAATATTCATTAACGTACACTTTAATTTATTGGTTGAAACAGTCACCATTTCAGGCAATAGATCATAAGCATGGCAAAAACTGGAAAATATTTATCAGTGACCTAGGGCCTCACCTTCAAAAATGGCATCACAATTACTTTTGTTAGGCTATTATCATGATTTTTGCCACAGTATTGTTGGTCAAGATCAATTTATATTTAACTAATATAGTTTGTTCTCCAAAAATAATTTGAGTTATGTGTTATTTAAATACAAAAATTTTATAAATAATGTCCAACAGAAAGAATTTCAGTCACTAGAATTTTTTTTTGCAGTGTACTGTACTCGTTAAACCTAACTAAACATGTACAATATTTTTCTATGGATAAAAATGCCTAGAAGCTTTCAAATAGATTCAATTTAACACAAAAACATTACAAGAATTAAAAAAACTTTAAACAAATTCCCAGCTCAGTGTGTTGTTCCAAAGTGTTGTAAACTTCACAAAAAATATTTTGTTCACTTCAGCAGGAGCTTCTAATAAGCCAATATGTTGAAGAATCATAAATTACTGCTATACTGACTAACATAGATTAGAATCCCTTATATTTCTAATCCATCCAAGCTAGCTATTTTGAAAGCAGATCTTCTTTAGTAATTGCTCAGGACCACATGCTTAGACATTATAAAAGGGTAGCAAAAAAAGAGTTATAGTAAAAAAACAACCTGAACCTTCTGGTTGGCAGAAAAATTATAAAAACAAATTGATAAGTTGGTTACTTACAGGGTGCAGAATGCAGCAGTCATTCCAGCACCATATGCTTTTGGTGCTTGAGCAGCAACACTAAAGACAGTCTCCCAACCAGCATAGCACTACTCATAGCAGTCACAGCCATATCTCAACTACTATATCAGCACTTGAGAGAGAGAGGGCAGACAAAACAGTAATATGGAAACTGAAGTTGGTCAAATCACAGGTGAGTGAGGCCAAAAAGGTGTAAGAAAAGGTGTAAGAGTACTGAATGAGTCTAGGCAGAGAGAAAAGTCAAGATTGGTCAACACAAACAGTCATGGAATGGATACATAAACACAGATTGACACTGATTGTAACAATGGATGACTGAGTCAGAAAAGATGTGACATGAGCAGGAGTTATGAGTAGAGATGAACATCTAGGGTTTGAATGATAAGCAGAAAAACTGGATAATCCAGCCTATTCAGAGCAGAATGTGAAGCATTTGAAGATGGACTTGTCTAGTTGATCTGTAACAGTGAAGACAATAACAGGATCATATTCCTGACAGACTCCCTAATCCTTATAACAAAATTGGAGACAGGTTTTGTATCAACAACATGGGTAAAACCTTTGAAGAACTTGAAGGCTTAGCTGTTGATGCCCTATGTTCCATGCTGGAGCAGCAGACCAATCAATGATAAAGTGGACCTTCTAGCTGGTGTTAGAGGTGCAATCCTTGAGTGACCTGATAAGTTCTCCAAATGAAATTGTCAGTGAAATATTATGTAGATTGAGAAAACAGGAAAAGATTGAGCAGGGGTCACATTGGTTACTGTATATCTTACATTAATATATTTACGAATATAAATTATACAGTGAGCACATTTTAGGTGTTGTGCACATCCTCATATGAAATTTCAAAATTTAAGTAAAAATAATAGTTCTAATTCTATTTTAAGAACTTTTAGCTCCAAAATATTTTAAAATTGATATTTTGTCATCTGGTAACATTTATTTAGTGTGATTCTCAATGAAAAAAAGGATTTAAATTTACATTTCTGAGTAACTCACACTTATAGATTAACAAAATATTTCTACCCATCTCAAACAATTTGGTTATTGTGGTTAAGAAACTATCATCCCATAAGAATATAATTATCCATGTTTTGTTTCTAATGTAATTTTCCTTTTTTTCACTGGTACAACCTCTTTTTCTCACCCTTTTATGATCTTACTGTATATGATCTAAACTACTAATGAAGCTCAGCTTTGAAAGTAGCTAAAGGCAAAACTTAAGCCATTGTATACAGTACATTATAAACCACCTACATTAATATAGAGTGAATATAATATCATGAGAAGTAACTTATGGTTTCATTGGAAAATGACAAGACATAGCTCCTGCATAAAAGAACAATGGAATCTGTAATGGGAAGTTTAGAAGACTTAGGAACAAACCACAGATCTGGGAATTTATTAAATTTTCTTTTTATTCCTGAAAAAGTTTTTTGTGTTAAATAATATTTGTTTTAAAGATACAGAGTACTGTTAAAAAACTATCAGGTAAGTTTAGTTAGGTTATCAAGTATAATTAAGCAACAGCAAAATATTCTGAGGATTCAAATCCTTACGTATTAAATGGTATTTTTAAGTTTACCATATTTAAACATTGCACATAAATATACAAGTTTGTGATTTATTAAAAAGAAACTATACTTGTTAGATGTAAACTGATCTTGACCCAGAATATTGTTAACAGAAATATTGTTACTTAGCCTAACCTAATGTCATTCTGAAATGTCAGATCCAAAGTCAACATTCAATGTTTGTCACTTTATTAGATGTTTTTGATGATTTATAACCAGTAATTGGCAAGATAAAGTATCAAAAGAAATATGCTAATAAGAATTAATCAAACTGAAATTGATGGCAAAATGGAAGTTTAAAGGCATTATTAATGGACTGCATCTGATGAAGATCTGTGCTAGCAGCATAAAACTTTGTCCAAACTTCTTAGAAAGATGTAGTCTATTAACAACACAGAAAAAAATAACAGAAAAAGTAAGTCAAATTATATGGACTTTTTAGCAAAAAAAAGTATCTAGTACTATTTATTAAGTTTGTTACAAGTTTCATGCAATTTGGTTAATTATTTCCAATGTGAGAAAGAAGAAACGAAGGAATATCAGTGAAACTATGTCACTCTGGGAGGGGTTAAAAGTGATTTTATTGTTGTTGATTTAACATTTTTTTTGTTTGTTCAGGCTTTAGCTTCCATGAGTATGAGTCCTCAACCAATAAAAAATTTAGACAAGATCCAGCCAAGTATGGTAGATCGTGTAACTCTTCCAGAAACTTCAGTGACTCTTCCATCTACAGGCTTCAATCCCTTGATATACGGAAATGATATTGATTCTGTAGATGTGGCTACCCGAGTGGCTATGGTCAGGTTCTTTAATTCCCCTAATCTGCTTGCTCACTTAATGGAACACACACGCACACTACGTCTATATCCAAGACCTGTTGTGGCCTTTCAGATCAAAAGTTTCCTCCAGTCTAGACCCAAAGTAACTGTTTTTCTTAGGCGATTTGTATGTACTCAGGTTTGTTGAATTTTTGTTTCCTTTTTCTATAATTCATAAAGTATACATTTGGCATAGAAATTGTACAAAAGCATGTAGCCTTGTTCGTAAGAAGTATCTTAACTGCAGAAAGAATTATTTCCAGACATTAAGATATGTTTGATGGTTTTTTTTTTTTAACTAAACAATTTGGAGAAAATTGGAGTTTTAATATAACTGGAAGGTTGGATATTCTAAGCCACTGTATACATCTTATTTCTGAAACAGATTGAAAGAATTATCATGCTGTTTCTCTGCTCCAGAATGCAATTATCCATGATGAACTCTCTATCATCAATTTAGCTAAGCTAATATCTCTCATCTAAATTTATCTTTCCAAGTGTTTTTCTCAAAATATATATTTATATTTGTGTATATATAAGATGTAAACTAAAAACTAGTGTTGAAAAGATGAACTGGCTGTAAGATTGATCAACTTTATTTGCTTTTTTGTGGTTTCAAATGGGAGTTTAGGTAAGTATTAGCTGTGTTGTCTTAGAAGCTGAGTATCGACATGCAAATTGGCGTATAAAGCTGGTCAACCTTAATTGGAATCAATGCTGGTTTAGCCATTTTGTCTTAATTTTACAACATTTTCAAAAAGTTTTATTACTCTAACATGACTACATCTGTTAGCATTAAATTTGGTGCACATTTTCTAGTAAAATTAAATCAAATCCTTATCATCTGGCATACCTAGGACCCATAATGCTGTTAGGCTAATTTTTTATATATGAGCCAACTCTGAGCATTTATTCATTCATGAAAATTAATATAGGATTAAAATACACATGCTATAACACTTATGAAGAATCAAGCAACAGTAAAAAGCTAAGATACACACTACAAAATTTTACTTAGAATGGACACGAAAATTATTTGAAAGAGAATTGTTTAGATGTTATTGATTCATTTCATCAAAGCTTCCTCATGTTTCTTTTGACATCCAACACAAACAACTATTTACACTGTCAGTTTGCATACAATCACAGTACTTGTAAACAAACTTCAAAAATACATGTGATTCACATGAATACCACATGACAAAGCAGATACTTGGTCTTTTTTTTTTGAAGAGTATCAAGCATAATGAGTGTGCAATTAAAAAAGAAAAGTATTACACCTTCACATAATTATAAAATCCATAACATGTACACTGTGGAATGTAGTATTTTAAAAGTAGTAGTTATAAAGTTTAAAGCATAAGGACCATAAACAATTTAAAAAAAAATTAACACTCATTTTACAGTTTACATTTGTAAAATAGTTGCAATAAGAAGAAGATATTTAAAATGTTTTTTGGAATTAATTAATGAACTTTACTCCAAAGCATTGTATCATATGTGTAATAAATTGTTTTAATACAAAAAAAAGCTATCTATTCAGAAGTGTTGTTTTTTATTAAGTTTTGAATGTGGTGCATTAAAATTTCTTAGGAATAGCTTTTTTTATTTTCTTTCTCTCTCTCCTTTATTTTTTTGTAGTGACCAGTAAAGTTTGTTTATAGTTTACTAAATCAACCTGTAGAAATGCATTTCATTATTCTCTTAGGCTGTGGAATTTTTAGCTGAATGGTCATTATGTCCAACCAATGTGGCCTTTCTTAGAGTTCACACTGGTAAGTGTTCAACTTTAAATATTAAGTTGAACAGCATCATGAAATAGCTTTATTTTAAAACAGTTTTTTTAAATCTTGAAGTGGTCTGGTTTGTTCTGGAAAAGTTTTTAGTAGAGAGTGATGCTAGTCTGAAAAATAACTCGTGAAGCAGTTTTATAGTAAGTGTGCTTTTATTCAGCACGTGAAACTTTTTGAAAACATAGTCCATGTACCAACCTATTTCAACTTAAATTGGTTCTAAATTATGCTTGTCCTTTGAAGGAGGATGAGCTAGATTTTTAGTCTTTAATTAGAAATTTAAACTTCCCACTCCCTTCCTGTAATTTGTCTTACATTTAGTTCTTTTTTGGTATTTCTTGTAATATTAACATTTTCTGAAACTGGATGTTTATTGCAGGTGTATTTGATCCAACTGTTATTGGAGATAAACCCAAGTGGTATAGTAACCAGTTAGAACCATTGCATTTCAAGGTCTGGAATGATGGAAGCTCTTTAGGGAATTCTTTAGCATCGCTAATGTGTGGTGAAGATATCAGTACAGGTGAGGATTTTAGCAGTTTTTGCCTGTACTTTTTGTTCTAGTGCTATAGGTTTAACCATCTCTCAGAAGTTTAGTTGTCATGAATTCTTTTTTCTTGTTGGCTTTCTACTATATACATAGATACCTGAGTGTGAAGTTTGTAGGATGGACTCATAATTCTTACTGTAAAGTTAACATAAGCCCTTGTATCATACTTTCTAACTGCTTGGTAATAGGTTTCTTTTGTAGTTTCTGAATAACTTGTAATATCTATGTTATGGACTTGACAGAACTTACTAGTGTAAACTGCATGTACATTTCTTGTTTTTACCCATTCAGAATAATATTTCAAGAGTTTGTTCAGGTAATTTTTTGTGTGCATGTTTTTTTGGTTACACTTACATTGCTCCAGAATTGTTTTTATGTTACTATAATTTTATAGCAAGATTTATTGATGGATTTAGTTTTGGATTTGATAAATTATACACAAATAACTTAAATTCTTGCTACTCTTAGATATTGGTGAATTTTATTCAAGAATGTAGTTTATTAACAAATAGTAAATACTATTTTCTCAATATATTTATCTAACTCTTTATATTATTCTTAATATGCTTGCTTTTTCCTTTATATTGTTTTTTAGATGAAAGTGGAAGTGATAGTGAGGGTGGTGGCAGCACTAGCTCTTCATATTCTTCACTGAGTGACTTTGTGTGTGACATGGTGAACAGTGATATTACTGGAGAAGTCATAGGTAAGGCAACAGTGTGTGATTTCTAAAATTCATTAACATTATCTCTAGTATTTAGAAAATTTACATTTTGGTTGACAAGAACAAAAAAAAAAGATTTAAAAGTGTAGGAACCTTGTTTTTAAGTGCAGTAGTATTATGCTATATTCAGTATCTCAAAGCTCTATGTTAAGTTTGTGTGTTGTTGAACATTTAGAAACAATGAAAGATCTGTTAACCCGATGACTACTGGTACTAACTTTCTTAGTAGGCAATGCAAGTGTGCATTTGTGAATTGAAAAAATGATAGAGAACTTATCTTTTAA